ACTCCGAGTCCCTAGTTCAGCCTTACAAGCCAGATAAGTCGATTAAACTTTTCCCTCATTCATTATCATTACATTTACTCTAATTAAATACATAGCTCCTTCAACTACGTTGCGTATCAGTTCTTTTGATTTGTGTTTTGTTATCGGTACTTACACGTTAGGTAAAGTACTGGTTAAGCAGGTACTAGAGCACATCAAGTTAAGTAGGGTTGACCAAACGTTACGGAATTGTAACACGCATCCCTACGATATGGTGTTAAAATAAACGTTTATCTGACGAAACATGAAACTATACAGAAGGGTCAAGTATCCCAGTAACTTGAAGCGCAAACGTCAAATATTGCGCTACTTTGACGAAAGAAGAAAGATGAATGGAAACGACCTAAACTCATAAACAGTCTGTATGTAATGTAAGGCGGTAGTTTCTTCTTTTTATTACTTGCAGATACTTTTGATATTATGATGAACTTTAACGTCCACCCTTCTGTATCATTCAGGATGGCTCGTGTAGGAGATTTCTCTGTCTCTGTCAATTGGATGATGCCCGTAAACCGGCCTCCCCCATGTTAAATTCTCCATTTTGGAATAAAAAACTTTGTTTATCCAGTTATTTATCATGACACTCAGAGGAATTTATTCTACGTTCATGTTCACCAGCACACAGCCATCTCTTGAGTACAGTGCACAAGGCAAGTGGACAGATTTGAAGATACAGAGGTTACAATAATTGTCCAGTACTGGGAACGAGTTGATTGACTGGGTGAATGGATATGCCGTAAACCACAAGCATGCATTTGGTCCACCGCAAAAATTGGTAAGGAAGTTTTCGTTTGCAGTTCAAGTGATTGATACTTGAATGCAGGCCAGATAAAACGTTTTCGATAAAACTATATTTTGCATGTCTGTGCAGACGTCCTAAGTTGTACGTAGGCGTCACTAGAAGAGTGACTTCTGGGAATACTATCACTCGACCTCCGAGAATAAGAGAGGAGAAATCCCGTACCGAATGGTCCAAATATGTAGCCTCACAAGCTAAAACGGCGTAGTTTCAAAAGTGCTGGTCATCATGTGTATCTGTTAATCATGAAGGACAAGAACTGTATAATACTGTAGTGCCAGATGACGTTGAGATACTAACTGGCATAAAGCCTCGGCTTTGAATGCATCGTTATGATAATAGCTCTGCACGCTATTGAAATCGAAGATACAGCAAGAGACTAACTCTCAGAAAACGTCTAAATGCCTTCAGTCATGAAAAGCACTTGTCTTACATGGTGAGATTATTCAGGGAGTAACATTTACTGAAACATTAATTAAATTAGAGAGAAATCCAAGTAATTTCATGATCCACCAGAAAATGTAATCTACCCTTACTTAAAGTAGGTTGAATAAATGTTCAAAAAACAGACGAACAGGAATTAGTGGGCCTATGAACCCCTAACGGTTTCTGATGGATTAACGGTGAAGATACCCAAAACCACTGCACAACGGCAGGGAAAATGAGAGTAGCAGGAAGATCAAATCCACTACACTGCCTGGAGGAAAGTGCGGTCAATGATGAGTTGACGTAACATATATAGAAAGTTATCACTTGGATTCAGTTATTTCTTTCACTATCTTCATCCTCAGAAATGATAATAATGTTCGCTTTTTTCCAAACAACATGTATGATACAGTGTGGAATTTCCACCATGAAATGTTTCATACACTTTGTTTTTTGTTCACTATTTTTCAGAGGAACAGTTTCTACTTCTGTAGTGTTAATAATAACAGCATTGAAGGCATAAGTGTGAAACGGGTGGCTAGCGTTACATAGGCATGCGTTCTGGATACAGAAATTAATACAAAGTCGAGAGCAATTTTGATGACGGCAGTTCAGTCAGCCTACATGGAAATTCACAATCCCATACAGGTTTCCTGGGAATAATAGCGTGTATTGTTGAGTATTTACAAATCCATTTCCAACCGACGGAAAGTTTTACTTTTTGTTCTTAGGTTGAGGAATGAAAGTTCGAAAACGTTTTCACAACGTTCAAGAGTACATGATGTGTTTAGAAGACACTCGAAAGATTAAAATAAACTGAAAGGGAAGAATATGATGCAATGTAACCGGTGGAAAGCTTTTTGATTGCCAAAGATGTAAGCTGGCTGCAAAACGACTGCGTGCGCTACCCGTTGCAGGCTGGTCTCAGTTGCCGTGGTCGATCTGCATGAATTCGGTAGCTCAGTGAAAACCTTGCTGGTATTTTGAATCCAATTCTTACCAGATCTGTTGGTTCGGTTCAAATATCGAGTCTTCGCGGATTCGTTTATTTGGGAACGCCAACTTCATTTTTCCACTTAGTACCCCGGAATATACGCTTGATCCTGTTACTGGTTTACGAGGGCAGGAGGTTCACACTACGCTACCAGAAGTAGGCTTGAAAGTGGTGCAGACATTCCACATGTGGACTTCTTGGTGAGTAGTAGTCTACATGCATACATGACCTAACACTCTTTGGTGTTGCATCGATCTATTTTGAAACTTTTTCAGCCCCATCTTCGTGTAGTACTTGGCTGTCGGCTGTATGCCACTAAGTTTTCTAAGGCTTTGTGTGTTCATTATGGTCGTACTTCCTTGCTTTCTTGAAGCCATCTACTTGTTAAAATGGCTCGACACCGTCAGCTTTCACATATGTGCCAGAATGAAGTTTCTGTGAGTCCCTTCTCATATTATGTTGGAGTATTCACGAGGGAGTGTCCTCTGGCTCTGCGAGCATTCTACTGCTGTGCTTGTCGCCGGTAAGTTGTACTTGGATTCATTGACGAGAATTGGAACAATAAATGATCAGTCTGTACATATTCGAAAGATCTGTGAAGTATCTGTCAATCCAAGCAGCATAGAAACGAATTAAAAGTCCAAAGGTGGCAGGACCTGAACCTTCTGAAAACCTCTTTTCCTTCTGAAAGGATGCCAAAATACTTCTGTACGAGATCTCATTTTCGCAGAATACCTGCTTCCTTGAGGATCATAAGACCTCATCTAAGTGGAACGTCTATGTAAAGTCTTTGTCCAGTCTGGAGATTTCCACTACCTGGGATGGAAAAGAGACGGTAAGTGACTTTACCAAGGATCTTTCACCACCGATGTAATAACCGTATCTATAAAACTGATACGCCGTCGTCAATTCAGGAATGAACACCATTATTTCCCTCATTATTATCGGCAACGCAAGGTTCATTCAAGGCCTGGAATTCAGCAAAAGGAAGTGTTTTTCCAGACTTTCTTTCGTAGCAACGTGCAGCGTTGATCGCTACGGGATCTCAGAATGGCAAGAAAATTTTCAGTCCTTTGAAGCTGGTCAAAATCCAGTATTATCATGGCAACATGTGTCGGGGGTTTGAGCAGACTGCTTAACCTTCCGCAGCTACCTGACGCGCAGCTTCGTGCCTCAGCAGGAAGAAGACGTAGTCAGTTTGCGTAAGCATCATATAAGACAGCACTCAGTGTTGAAGATTTGATCATGTTCGTTACCGTTGTGCCACTAAGCAGGCCTAAAGTAGAATAATATATTTTACGTAATAATTGGGACCAACTTAGGGCCTCCGTATTCCAGCGAAGATAAAATAAATTGAAAGATGAGTTAGGATTTTTGAACCCGAATCTCAAGAGGGGTACTTTCATTGAATTTAAGAACGTCCCTTGCGGTATTATACAAAAGAAGCTGAAGCGCCAAATCAAGATAAGACTTCGCTTCCCCTAGAGACGCCCCCGTTTACTATTAGTACCTTCTTACGATCAAAGATTGGTGTTAGGTCTGTGAGCATTAGTATGCTCCAACCGTTGCCACCCTGTGAGCAAATTTTAGCAACATATATTACAACAGTGCACATGACCATGCGCAAAATGATGTGCTACCATCCAAGGTTGTATGGTTTGCTTCCTAACTCAACGTAGAGACGGTTTGGTATCGCGCTACAAGCCTGAATTAAGGACTTTTCGTATGATAGAGGCCAAGGAGTGGGGGCTAATAGGACATTGTTCAAGTGAAAGCCCTGGATGAGTGTAGTTCCTCATGGGGCAACCCTAGGTCCCCACGCTTTTCTTTATATATTGAAGCGAATCACCACAACCGTTCAACTCTTCGGTGCTGCTATCCACTGATGAATTAGAAGACTAGAGAGTTATGGGTAATGGTGCTGACACATATGCACTTCAGGCGGTTTTAGATGAGCCATCAGGTTGGTCCGAACGTTCTAGCCTCGAAGTTAACTCTGATGAAAGTTCAACAACGCAAACTGGTCATAGTCGTAGTTCCCGGTGTTCTTTTTATGGTATACCACTCCGCAGTCTTCGAACTTAATGACCTAGAGATGCCGTCATAAGCTATGATTTTGTAACTTCGGTACAATGTAATGCAGCTGCAGCAAACGGTCTTCGTGTACTATGGTCCATCCGAAAAGCTTCCAAGAGTTTTCATCGGCATATGTTCGGAATACTCTATTCTACTTACTTTAGGCCTCACCTATGATACTGCATTCAGGTGGCCAGTCCATGCCTTAAAAAGGGTGCTGACATACTCCAATGGGTTCATGGGGCGAATACTAAGCTTGTAGCAGGCCTCTTACATATGTCCTAGGAGGGGGGATTAGATCGGCTAAACTTCTAGCTGGCTTACGATGGGAAGAGGTGTGATCCCACACGGACATTCTGTGTCCTGAATACTGAATTTGATGGTGATATTTCCTAACTTTTCCCCCGTGCTATAATCACTTATGTCTGAAGACATCATAGGAAAGTCCAAAAACAGAATGAATCAACTTAGCGTGAATCTGCATTTCTTTCATTATGTTGTCAATGACTGGAACTCTTTACCTCAGCAAGTAGTACACGGACCTCCGGTCAACGCTTTCAGAGAGAAAACAGATCTTCAAGGTGATATCTTCTGAAGGTATAAACACAGGTCAGCTTGCCTACTATCCTTACTACTGAAAACTGAATGTGCTTCGTTACCGTGTTTAAATTGGTCCCAGTATTACTGGCGCTATCGTCGTTCTTTTCGGAAGGGAAACTTCTTTTGATTTATATACCTTGGTATTGACAAGAACACATTCAAGACTTTGCATTATTGAATATTTTGATATAATGGAGTTCTAAATATGGTTTTCAACTATCCAAGTCAGTCTTCATTAGTCTTCAAGAGAAAAGTCCCCTGTGATGGAAAACTTGCTAGTGCGCTTTCCAATGAACGCTCAGCGCCTCAGCAGCTCAGAAAGAAAAGGTTAAAATACTATTCTCACTTACCATTGCTACAGATGGCAGAACGTGCATCAGCCTGCAGGGATCTTCATCAAGTCATAGGTCCATAACCAACCGTTCTCAAGCCAGGTCCAGACAGTCAAAGAAATATCACAAAGGACGATATGACCTTGATTCTAATTATGATGCGAGCTATAGCCATAAAAACTTGACGAAAGGTTCTGACAAGAATCATTCAGGAACACATTTAGATGGCTACATACATGCTTCGTGAGTTGCGCATGCCTCATAATATTCTCTTAGATTCCAGTTCAAAATGCTTCCTGGGTGTACGTATTTACAGAATACTTGTGATGAAACATCCCCACAGTGGGATGAAGTTGCCCTAATAAGAGTATTAAATAAAGGTGATTTAGCATGCCCGATATGTCTGTATTCACCCGTTACACCACGAATGGGCAAGTGTGGTCACGTGTACTGCTGGCCTTGTGCAATGCAGTATATCAAATATGAGAATAATTCAACCGACAAAAAGTGCGCCGTATGCTCCTGTTTGTTATCGTTCGACGATCTGAAAAGGTAACTTGCTTACAAAACACCAAGTGTGCTTTAGGGTATCACTGGTTCCTATCACTCAAATAAAACACGGTGACATTTTAAGTCTGGCACTTGTCAAGCGCTTGGGACCATATGTGGTGCGTTGTTTGTCTTCTCAAAAAGGTGAAAATACGCCGGAGTCCACTTTCCAGTGCGTTTGCATCGCCGACTTGACATCAATGAGGAAGTTCATTGAAACTGATATCAATGATCTGAGTACGCATAGAGCCATATGCGAAATCGATTGGAGCAACACAGAACTAATCCCATTCATTGATTTGCTACTCAACAAACTGAGACACGAAATGTCTACAAAATTTAGCAGTAACAATGAAGCTAAATTTGCGGAGTGCAGTATTCGGTATGATCATCCACACTCTACCAACCAGCTTTACTTTTACCAAGGTAGTTGGAATTTCTGTTGTGATTTCTTTTAGCTGCGGATGGTCAGCCTATTTTCCTGGATGGTTTGGCTTGGAGATGTTTGTTGACTGAGTACAAAAATATAGAAAACCTTCCAGAAGAGATTGCTGCTACTGTCGTCTCAGTCAAGAATTGTCGAATGGACCCAGTAAGTCATTTTTCTCATGAGCTAAGAATCGTTCGGTAGGTTGGTTTTCAAATTACACCAAGGAAGCAAACAAAATTTGGTATTTCATAGCTACTGGTAAAAAATCACGAACAATTTTTTAAGCTGGTCAGAAGGCATAGTTACATATGTTGTAGTATTTTTACTGTGGTGAAATGGTGTAGCTAAACCTGTTTTTAGGATCTGGATAACAATTCGCAAACTTTAATATTTTCACGTAGTCGTGTTGTCAAATGTATATTATCGTCTCCTTTTGTCTTAGTTTTATTGCGTTGAGTGCCGTGCCGACAAATTCTTTAGAATGGAGTTTATAAAACTAAAAGGACTTTAAGTTGGCACACAATTTCTCACTACATTCACCAACCACATTGTGGGTAGTAAATTAGCATTGTATAAGTAGGTCAGTAGCATAGAGGTCGTCCATCTGCCTGAGAAAAATTGGAAAGTTAAGGTTGATTGTACCATTCTTTAGGTAACACTGCGGATTCAGCCTCGTCATAGATTTCTTGGTGTGGAATGTTAGAAAATGTATTTTATGCCTGACTGGGTCTTATGTACTACTGGTTGCCCACACCATGCTACTTCCTAAGGTATCTGAAAGAGGAAAGGATTTGTAACCGCGGTGACCATGGGACGTGTGCTTGAGACCTGTCACACGTGGTCTTTGAAGGTTTTTGTTCTAAAGCCGGATAGAGAAAATCTATATCACCGGGACTGAAAAACCGTGAGGCTAGGAGTTTGCTATTTTTGGGGCTTGCGTTTCCTAACCTTCATCAGCATAGTGCTGCTGGTCGCCCAAAGAGAACCTTGATGCTGTCATACCCCATCCAGCGGGCAGCAGTATAGCTTAACACCCAGACCCCTGTCATAATGTTGTAATCAACAATGCCACGGTAACTGCTTTTCATTTTACCACTATACAACAGACCTTTCTCGGATGGTAGGAACAAGCGTTCCACCAACATAGCTGGTTGGATTATTGTGATATGTAAGGTTGTCGGTCGGGGGTATAGGGTCTACAATAAAGTGAATTCGGTTTGGTCATTGCAGTTGTTAACGCTCATATTTAGTAGTCGTTGGTGTCGAAATACGTGGACGATAACATTCAAAAGGTGCGTCTCAAAGATTGAGCTATGTATTAGTAGGTTTCGGAGTCAGGAATTAAAGTAATCGGATCTGCATATAATTCCCTCACTCAGCGCTAACTCGAAGTTCTTACTTCACAATGGTATTGAGCATGAGTGCTTACTTGATGGGTCAGTTAGGTATAGATCGAACCAAGTAAGTTGACGTCTGTCTACTCAGACCAGACACTTAATAATGAGTTCATTCATTGTGAGAGCTTAAACTTGTTTGCGTTGTTTGGTTCACATCCCAGTTGAGCGGGAATTGCTAAGTATTGTGTGAATCGTGCAACACAACGATTAGAAGTGTCAATAAGAATAAAAAGTAATTATTTTATTCTTCGAATATGCCAACAAGAATAATTCGTTAGGTCAAGCTTTTCATCATGTTTTTCCCTGCTAGGTTTTGCGCAAACGTTTACGTTATCTCAACTATTTACCAGATGGCTACGCTTTCAGTTTGGTTGAAATCGAGTTAAAACCACCGTTGGTATCTGAATTAACGTTGTCTCGCTACGCGACCGTCCTCAATAATCGTGCAATAGAGCGAAATCGAAGTCACCTGGAAGATTTGAAACTAACTGAGTTGAAAGAAGCTGCTGAAAACCAATTCATGTCACTGCGTAAGATAAGTTGATTTGATTTGTAGTCGAAAAGTTGTACTCAGCACATATTGATCAAAGGAATGATGTTGAAGTTGATTTGTTCCCAAATACTTTACTCGTCTAGAATTTCTGGACAGGCATTCTAATGAAAATATAAGACTAACTTATGATAACGTACATTGTTAAGTTTTTTCTGCTGATCGTTTCTTCGAAATATCTTAGTACCAGATAATTTAAACTTCAGCTACAAGTGACGTGAGCATAAGTACAGTACTGAAGTTGACAGTACATATTTGTATGCATACACAAGTTATCAGTAAGATTTTCGAACGACTACTACGGTTTTAATATAAAACTGCTTCAAATTCCAGTTCCTAATGAAATAAGGTTTCATGCAACCCAAAGCGTGAACAAATTAATGTTCATGTGGATTTATTTAAAGTCCAGTCATAGCTTGATTCAATTTGGGGTTGGACTGTAGTTGTCAAATACTTTCCTGTTAGCTGACCATTATTCAGAATGCAAGAAATTTCAATTCAAGATGCACTCAGCAACCAAATGCACACTTCTGCAGTAGGCAGTGAGCTACATTTATTGTGTGAAGTAGTGGTACTACTTGACCGCCTACACCTCAGTAGATGGGATGAGGTTTGAACTCAACCTGTCGAGTGAAAGTCAAGTGCATAAACTAATGTCCTTTATGCTTTAATGCCCAATTTAGTGTTTTTACGTGTATAAAGTTTAGTATGCAAAAGGTAGATGATTGTATATATGCCCCTAAACTATTTCTATTTGATACCACTGAATAGATCGCACGGAACCTCTCGAAAATTTAGCCTGGACTTACGTTAGTCTTCCTCCAGAGGTAAATATATCAAGCTCTGTCAGGGCCATGGACTAAGTGACTTTCTTAACATTATTTTTACTGATACTATTATGAATGCCACCAAAATTTTAGTATGTGACTGTATTAATCTAGTATAACAATGGGGTTGTGCTATTAGTCTATTTATTTTGTTGCTAGTATAGTCGTGTACCTCACCTGGTTAACTAGTTCACTAGTTACTAGCTGGTCCTAAGCCTGGGCATAGGGCTAGCAACCCTACCCCGTAGAACCAATCCAACTGCTACCGAAACTTCAAAGCACATACAAAATATAAAAAATAAAAACAAACTTATTCCTCGCTGGAATCGGAGAGACGAAATTACGCCGGTTGGTGAAAGCCTTCGAGAAGCCAGTCGGCCTATGTGTCTTCTCTCGATGAAAGCGAAAGTAGGAATGGGGACAAAGAATATCCGCACCATGTATAAACCTAGCAAGGGTACCCAGATTGCCAAACAGATGAGAAGGTATGCCATAGAAGTGCTAGAAATCTGCGAAAGCAGATAGAATGGAAGTGGACTCTCCAAACTGTCAACTGGAAAGTTAATAATTTATCCCAATATTGTCACCCAGACGACAACCACGAGCACACTGAGTTGTGGAATGGCTATCATGGTGTCCCCAAGAGCATTGAAGGCTCTCACACAGTGGGAACCAATCTGAATCATGACAGCAAGATTCAACTCCAAGGGAAGGAAAGTCACAATCATACAATGCTACGCTACCCACCTACAAATGCAGAAGAGAAGAAGGGGAAATTCTATAGACAACTGCAATCAACATTCGACAAGCCAGCCAGGATCGGAAAAGCAAGACGCGTTCATTAACCTGAAACCATTGTGGAAATCTTATGCACTCAGCATAAAGCGTGAACAACATCCGGATTTTCAACACCAACGTCGTCAGTGCTTCTATATGGCTCAGGAACTTGGCCTGTCACGAAAAGCATTTCCAACAAACTACAGACATTCATCAACAGCTGCCGCCCACACTCAGCCGATACTGAAGATCAGATGGCTAGAAAGAATAAGCGACAAGGAACTCTGGCAACAAACTAACCAAGAACCTTATCGCCCAACAGATATGCAAAAAAAGTGGAGGTGGATTAGGCATACACTGAGAAAACCATTCGGAGACATCGCGCGCCAGGCCGTCGAGTGGAATCCAGAGGGGAAACGACGAGTTGGGCGTCCCAGCTGCGGATGACATGGAGGAGATCATGTGAGGAAGAAATGAAAGCTTGTGGGCAGCCGTGGAGCCAGGTTCAGAAGACCGCAGAGAACAGACTGCAATGGAGATGTGCTACTGAAGCCCTGTGTCCCACTGGGAACCCACGAGACAAATAATAACACTAATAGTCGTGTACTATCACTTACCTAGATCCATTTGCATTGTTTTATTCTGCGTAAAACAAAAAACTTGTTGCAGCATGAGCCCCAAGAGATGTGTCGTGAATTCCAAGAGGTTCCAAATGTTACTTCCTTAGTTGAATGACATTTACGAGTAAAAAAATGTACTGCAACCTACGTACACTCCGGTAATATTTATTTAATGTGGTAGTTAAGCCTTACAGTAGTTTGGAACAACTTAAAAGTATCCCGGTCCCGCTTGGTGTTACTGAATATATGGAATTAATTCAATACCAACACGTTTGATTCTTCGCACTGCACCTTTATGTTTCGTTAACACATTAGTTCGTCGCTTATGTAATTTTCAGCTCCAGGTTTTGTTTTGAGTGGTCATGCGGCCTTATCAGACAAGCAAGGTGAGTTGTCCCTTTCACCTTACAATATACTCCTTCTAGAAGTTCAGCTTGACCCATCCGATTTTGTCCCTCTTTCGTCTCTGTCGGAAAACTTGAAACCGAAGAGTACCTTACCAATCAGTTTTGCTGAGGTAAGCTCTAAATTGACTATTGTTTGGTATTTGTAAACCCATGTATGCTGAAGATAATATATGTAATCACACCTCAAAACACCCTTTAAATTAAGAAATGTCAGCGCTGTGGTCTACCTCTGGGATTTCGTCAGTGCCTAGAGTAAACTCCTTGCAATCTTAGGAAGGCTCGTGGTCAGTGAAGTTCAAATAATGGTCTAATAAGTAATGATAAGTTAAAGTTTTCCTCGTTATTCTACTCATTCCAATCACCTTTCCGTGAGCAGATTACCAACTCATCTTTCTCGGGGATAGTCCCGACTGTTTCAAACGTTTTCCCTAGTAAGTTTAAGGGATTGGTTTTTCATACATTTACCGCCTTCCGCAGATTTTTCAGTCTCATTTCTACGGTTTCTGCTCCAGCAGGTGCTTGGGGTCCACGTTAATTTGAACAAAGCTGGCATTTCCACTTTTCCTAGTGTCGGTCAGTTACCGTCCTCACGGCAAGCTGAAGATGATATCAAGTTAGATTATTATGAGTAACGCTTAGTTCCATAGATTGTCCAATTATTTCTTCCTGAAATACACTTTAGTTGTAGTTTATCTGCACTTATTAAGACTCTTTCCAGAGCAAAGAGTGACAATTTTCTGCGATTTCTCTCGAACAGTAACTTCAAGCAATTCACTGCATGCGCATGCATTTGAGATGATCTTGGTGGTGAATGGGCGGAGCTATGTCTGTCCCTGCTTCCAGAGTCGGTTGCAGGTACATAGGCAACTCCAGCTTTTAGAGTACAGTTTCACTTAGATGCCACTACCAATATGTCACTAGACCGAAGTTAGGAAGGTATCACCTAATTGTCACTAATCTACCTTACTTGACCGCTACGTCGACTTGAACTACGTATTTGATTTTCTAAAGTTATGATAAGTTGAAGGCTGACGACCATCTTTATTTTGGGTTTAAATCCCATCTGCTTATCTTTTCAGTTTGAATGTGCTGTGTCTACATACTAGTCAAATTCCCCATATACATGTTATCAGCATTCTTTCGGCTATTTTGTTTGTGTGTTGCTATTAGCAATGACCCGCTGGGTACATGTAGCAGGGCGAGAACATGTCTGGAAATAGACGAATACAAGATTTCTGCTCTTGAAAACCCAAAGTTATTTACAATGTCCTCTCCAAATTCCGAAAACTGTGATAATTGCTAAGTACTGATCGATAAATATTGCTGCATTTGCAACGTCGTCAGAGTTGCAGTGAAATTCAGTTGTAGGTGAGTTGATAGTGAGCTGGTTAAACAAGAAAATGTGGGTTCCACCAACAAGTTATTACGCTGGTTTATAAAATTTGTAGTTGATGTAAGCACATTCTTTGCACTGAAGACTAATCTATAATCAACAAGTTTTTTTTCTAGGTCTCTCGCGCAGGTGCACTTAATGTTGTTGGTCCAGATCGTGTTGCGCATTTCTCACGCAGTCCTCCTAAACCATCACCTGCTAAGGGTTTTCATATCAATTCCGAACGCTGGCCTACGTTAGGGGAATCTTCGAAAGGTGAGGGCAGTTCCGGCCACACAAGTCAACGGGTCAAATTAAGCGACTTCGTTTCCAGCTCTAAAACATACGTAAATGCTTCGAAAAACAAACAGCATTCATCTAGTGCTTAGACTTAATCTTACTTATTATGCTAGAAAAGAATTGTAACGCTAAAGATATTTCTCAGTTTTTGTCTAAAAAAGTATGTAGTGTGATTATATTGTTTTTACACCAGTTACATATCAGCTACGAAATTTTTTCCCGCTTGCTTTTTCATGTAGTGATGTCTTTACTACCATAACATACATCTAACTTGCTTCGGAAGCGGGACTAGCAAACACAAGTGCGTTTGGCAGATTAATGACGATTTTGTTGGCCTTTGTCTTAAGTTGTCAACCGTCGAAAGACAACTTATATAGACTGTGACGTGATCATGGGAGGTCATCACATTGCAATCGGTCTCAGATGTATCCCGCAGTAAAAAATGTGTTGTCTACCGGATAACGTTTCCGACAATTCATTATCCGTTATCATATTCACCACTTTAAGACATTGCTTATACTGTTTTGATCTTTTCCCCCTCTTTATGGTAGGACTTGTAAGATTCCCAGATATCTGGAGCATTTGCTGAACCATTCCTGTTGCATGGATTCGGTGTTACTCCGATAAATAAAGATTCAGTTACCAATGTCTCTCCATCCCGCCAAGTTAGTTTTAAGGACTACCCACCGTCCCATGTTATTGTGGTTGCGTGTAATTTCATGGATCCCCATAACCGAGCTTTCCTCTGAATTCCTGACCGTATTAGGACTTACTGATCCTAATTAAGCTAGGTTTTCGTGCTCTAGGCAACCTAATTGACGCCGTAACCGTTGCTAGGGGTTCGATAGGCTAAATTATATTGCGAAATTGGGTCAGTAGGATCGTCCAACTGTCGAAGTTTGTTTCTAAGCGAGTTTGTAGGTTCAGGTGCCACTCTAATCCCAACCTAACTGATAATCTTAGGTAATATCTCTAAGGTTCCTTCCTTGTGTGGTAACACCATAGATACATTAAACGTTCTCCCCGCGGTACTGCAGTTCCTTTATTATTGACACTCGTGTTACCCCTACCAGTCGTTTTTCTGCCAGTTACTAGTGAATTTGTTGAGGGTAATTAATGACAAGTGAGGTGTCCTTAATTTCTTGTCTTCGGTTTGTTTAACTACTTATTTTTGTTGGCGCTGTTATGTAGGCGTTTTATTAAACCTTAAATGAGATAAAGTCTAAGTACCGACTCGAGTGTAAGGGTTTCTTATGGACAGTAGCGTCAAAACTTCCGTCTTGTTTTCATTTCATCCTGCAATTCAACGTCGCCAAATCCCCTGCACCACTTTTTTATTCATTGGTAAACTAGGTTATGTCCACTATCGAATTTATATGTCAGGGAAATACCTATGTGCTCCGATTTCAATACTGTGGACGTATTATCTACATATCGAGACGATACTCTTGAAACAAGACTAGATATTGTGAAAGTCACTCGTCTTAAAATATTCATAAACACATTTGCCACGATGGTAGATGTTGGTGATTCTGTGGCAACTGCTTCTGTTTGTTTGTATGTCTTACTCGAAAACTTGCGAACTGTAGGTGTCAGACATGACTGTACTCCTAGCATTACCTCAGCTGTTGGTACTAAAGTCTAAGCTCATGGTCACTAAGTTCGTATCAGTCAGTGTACTAGTGTGCAGGTTAGTTACGTCAAAACCAACCACTGTCGCCTAAGCGTATACTATCTAACCTGTACCTCAAGCCATAATAATTAATCTTTTTATTTAGAACTCCTTCTAGTCGAACCTAGTATTTTCGCTAAATATTTGGATGACTTACAAGTAGGAGTGTTTCTAAAGTATGCTATTGGTCTAGTAGGATAGCCTGGCTCATGCATTTTAATAGTACCATAAATCCTACTGGAGTTATTAATTTTCGGCATTAAACCATTTCGACTCATCTACAAACGACTTCATTCGATGTATTAGATCTACTGTCGTTTGATCTTATTCTCAATAGTGTCCACTGGTTTCTTAATTTCTTCATATGATCCTGTTCTTATGTTCGTTGACTATCTGAATGTAATCAGATTTGTTTGATACAACTGTTGGGTTGTCGTTTTTCGACTTAGTAATTACTACATTGTCATTCTGAAGGTTCTTCAAAGCGTCTATTTTGATAAATTGTTTCGTTTTCTGTCACTTGAGTTTATGTGCACATTCTGCTCGTACCTCAGTTGCAACTTTCCTACCTACTGAACTTGGTGCTATTTCAATTTCCCGAATGATATCTTCAGGTTTCAATTCATTAACTGAAACATTTAAGTTAACTGCCTTCTTCAGCACTGTTACTTCTGTTGAACTTAAAACTAGCGGATAGGTTGGTGACCCACTGTGTTTTATCAGTGACAAGTGATGTGCTGCTGATAGTCGCAGTATACTGGATGGGAAACTTTGCTTCCATTAGTTTGTTGGACTTCTTTACTTAGTGTTCTTGGGATTTATGAAGGCAGCTGATCTCACTTTATTGAAGTTGTCAACCAGTACTTAATTATCTTCACTAACTGCATCAGTTTACATTTTAATTTTTCAATCTATCTACCGATCCTGTGCAGCTTCTTGACTTCTATGAATTCCTTTCAGACAGAGTTTACTGACATGTCTAATTGTTGCTTTCACCTTGTCTGCTGGGGTCGGAGCACGTAGACAGATTTATATCTTAAGATATTGAACATACGATGATTTGTTGATTTCACTTGTTTGGGTAAGTTATCATGCCAGTGACAAAGCTTATACCCCTGTTATATTAAAAATACCAAAGAAGTACATAGGCATCCGAAATTGGTCAGATTGCCAGACGGTTCCGAACAAATAATGAACATTTCCTTGAGTAAGGCGTAGTATAAAACAGACGACTTATCACTCAAATTCGGTTGTATTTCCTGAATTATCTAGTGTGTACAATATCATTAGCAGGGATTACACAATACGCGTTTCCATTCGGAGTCTGCTTGGAGTCGCCAGGTATCTCAATCAGTGGAACGGCACCTGCCTGGAAAAGTCAGTAAGTTAGGTGTATAATCTCATATATACAAAACACATTTAAAAGACTTGTGGGTCATGGTATGCCCTCACGAATTCCCATGCAATGAATCGCGAGTTCATACATAAAGAAGGTGACTACTGTTCATAAGAGTTGGCTGTTTTAGTGTCCTACAGAAGTGTACTACTTGAAGAATCCGAACTTGAGGCTTCAGAGCTATCCACAGTATTTTGTTCTGTCGTTTAATTAGGTAATGACAGCTTTAGCTGCATTACTTGTGACAGGAAGAGATAATAAAATAAAGTGTTAAGCTTTCTCTGCGTAACTGTGAGAGACCAAATTGTATAACTTAAAACCATCAGGCTTAGTTTCTAAGAATATGTCAACACGTTAGTTAGTTAGGTCTTTACATCTGCCGCCTGTCTTCACTGTCGTACGACTAGTATTCACTACATAGGTTATGTTGTATGTGATGCATTGTTTTCCCAGACTACAATATAAACTTCATATAATGCAGGATTTTATTTGAAAGGAAAAGTCGACATTGATGGTACCCAGTGAAATGTAGTAATGATTATAGGGATAATAAGAAAACACATTTTCTGCGTCTGCTTATCTCGGTAAATTACTTCCGTAAATAACTTACGCATATTTGATGACATTTCCCAGTCGGATTGTCATAACTAAGAAAATCGAGTAGCAGGTCGTTAGTCCGAAGGCTGATTCCCGTCAATAATTTGGTAACACGATTGACAGAGTAGCTAAATCATTGTATGAAACAATTGTGGTCAGGATTTCTAGATGACGGACCAAGCACTTCAACTTGCAAACGCTAAATAATTCTTTATAACATTGACTATGAGATTTATCACTAACGCACTATTAACCGGTACAGTTTCTCCATATCTTAAAGATCGTAAATGGACGCATAACTCCTGTTAAGGAATACAAGATACATATGACGTATTTGATGCTAAAGAGGAACCGTTGATGTACGTAGGATGAGAGACGTTGTCAGGAAATGACCGCAGACATTCTTATCAGTGGGCTAAGTGAAGAGTAAGCAGGCATCAACAGTGAACCTTCAAAAAGTACGGTTAGTTCTTCGCGCTCCTATTCAAGACATTCTTGGAGGATTGTGTTGTTCTAACTAAAAAATAGAAGCACTTTCCCACAACTCAGCAGATTTGTTCTTCAAGGTTGTGATGTGAGGAAGTTGGATCCTGTACTGAAGATTATTCTACACGTTCTTAGTATGTCTCATAAGCGATACGGTGTAACTCGACATTCGTCTAAACATCTAGCTTTGATAGCTTTTTTGGTTAGTCACACTCTGCCTCAAATCAAGAACAGGTACTTGACAGCTAAGGCGTATTACCGCTTAAATGAATACCCACACCATTAAGAGTGAACCAGTGGCCAAAGTAATACAAATAAAAACCTTGGTAAGGTTACTTTTTTAACTTACAGTGAATCCAGTCATCGGTGCATCTAGTTTCCGGACATGAGGTGCAATTTTTGATGAAAAATGACTCAAACAAACTGAAAATCCGATGCACGTTTCCCATGGTATGTGTATCAGTGTAACTCCAAAATCTTTGCGCCAAGAGTCGAGTAGCGATGACGTATCTCTGTCGTTGTAAATTACATGCAAACAGAAAAATACTTTTAACGTTAAAAGTTTAGTATGAGATCAATCTCATCAAAATAAATAAGATAACTTATCTCCAGTCACCTTCAAAATTGTAACAAATGTAGGGACTACTACTCGATAACGTAATGATAAGTAAGGCACATACAGAATTTACCATAAACTTAGAAAGTAAGTCCATGAGTAGTTAGATTCCACCCATTGTAATCTGCAAATCTACTAGCTAGATGGAAGTGAAAAAAAAGCGGATGAGATTTTTGTTCATTTGAGGCCGAGTTCAGCAGCGGCATACCTTGAAAAATTCAGGTCATAGAAGCGATCTGCTCAGACCACGTGGGTCTGAAACTGTATGCCAGAAATTAGCAACAACCTTACTGAGTGAACATCATGAACTCTGCTCAAAAACTTATAGTGTTGCTTTCTAATAAAATCTGAATTAGAAACCAATGGAAGAAGATGTAGCTATGAACTAAGTGGTAAGACGGTCGTTTATCAGTTATCACCAACTCCCGTTTTTACTCATGCAAACATGAGATATCAGTTTAAAATGTCTGTACGTAGATGCGACCCGAATAACTCACCAGCAACATCGCTGACTGCGACGCTGGGTGACGGGAGTTCAGATTTCTGAGAGGATGTCAGTTCCCTCAAAATTGCAGACACATCTTGCTGACGAATGCCAACAAACACCCAACCTAGGTTCAGAGCTGACTGCCTTCAAATAACCTACATCTATCAAAGTGCACTGCGACGCTGAACCTCCTAGTTTAGTGGTCATATCGGTAGAATCCGGTCAGCACTCAGGGCTAGACAACAAGAAATCGGTTGCTTTCCTGTAGTTAATCAATGTGACTGACTTCTATATACATAAATTTGCACATAGTTATTAAGATGCGTTCACAAGTGGTTAAAATTATTGGAATCCTAGTTAGAAAAAACTCACGGAGAACAGTTATCACACAGAAGTAATCGATAGAAAACACGACGACAAGCAATAGGCTCAACTTTTACAAAATGAACAGATTTCGACCCATTCTTTTCATCTTCTTCTGAACATTTTTCTGTTGCTGATGAGTTACCATCTTGTAGCGAAGTTGTGTACAGTTTTATTGTTTGATCAGGTAACCAAAGCTAAAAATCATGAAAACAAGGAGAAAGAGAACAGTGAAGTTTGTTGTAGATGGTTAGTAGCAAACTAGGCTAGTACTCACCTACTCATAATAACAATATATCAAAAACCTGTTCCAACGCTTAATATTTTGCTTGAAGTGAGTTAAATACATAATCATATAATTGAAGTAAGTGGAATTTCAGGTCTAAACGGCTGATTATTTGATCTAACTACTATCTCATGACTGTTCATGCTGAAATAAAATTCCACGTTACTTCACATGCACACAACCTCAGCCAGATATATATATATATATATATATATATATATATATATATATATATATATAAAGCAGCGTCTGGATGATATTTACTACATAAACAATTTGAACATCAGTACAGAAGGAATCGAAATACATTGTGGTAGCATATACACGTCTATTATAATGAGATAACCATCTAGTGTTCAGAAGTGAAATCTATTGATCTTATGCCAGATATTTTTTATACCAAACAATAAGAATGTGTGTACGACTTTATTTCTTAATACAAGAAAGGCTAGTATCCCTTCAAGTGGTCTTGAGATCATTATCATCAACTCAAAATTGATACTTTGAAAAATTTCCTTTTGATTTCATCATTTAAATTGATTCTGTTCAAAATCATAGACAAATCTCATTCACCAAAGTAGAACAATGCAGCATATTACTCAATAGTTGAGTCAATCGGTTCATATTTCTCTAACAAACGTGAGGAAATAAGGCTCTTTAGACTTCTTATGATAGTGAAAGCCTAGGATATCACTTTATTTCATATAGCAATACTATTTTGTTGAATTAGGCGATCTGCAATTTCATTGTGTTTATATTCGGCTGCTAAGGTCCATCATACGTTTTAACAGTGTCATAAACCGACCACTTGAAAAAAAGTAGTCACAGGTTATCATAACATTTGTAATCTCACCTAACTGACCTCCTTTTAAATATGAATAATGACTCATGTCCTAATCACTTCATCTTTTTAGTAAAAAAAAAACCCTTGTAAGGTAAAATAAACTGTTATATGATCATTATCTGGAAATTAACCAACTGTAAAATTAAGTGTCCCATTTTAAATCTACGCAGCCAATTGATTTGCTTATGTTACCGTTGTGAAAATAAAGTCAGCATGGAATGAACAATATTTGAATTTTCATAGCTGGATCCCGGTCAGTAAGAAAGAAAATTTAAATCGTTCTTTTTCATCAAGAATGCGAAGAATCTGGGCGAATAATACTATCGACTCCAGCGACTTCTCATAGGAAATAGTTATTCATCCAGAATCTTGCAAACCTGCTTCATACATTCAACAATGCCCACCCTTCAATCAAATTCACTCTAGAATTAAAATCAAACTCAACCTTCCATTTTCTTGATGTTCAACTTCAAAGAAAAGACGATGATTCACTTCCTAGATCGATCTACAGAAAGCCTACGTGGAACAGACAATTCATTAATTTTTAAAGTCCAGTCCTTCTGTTCAGGAAGGGAAATGTTACTCATTCACTTTCCTCGAGGATCAGGAAAACATGTACTGAGGACACTGTTGATGTAGAACTGCAAATACTTTCACGAACTCTAGAGAAAAACGGTTTCCCGCTCAAATTCATAGATAAGAACATAAAGCCAAAGAACCCAAGTGAACGAACACATTTGGCGCTGAAAAAGATTCTTTTGTTGAATCTTGAATCCGAAAATGATATTACTGCAGACATCCTCAGGAAACGACTCGAAACACTTAGATGGAACATGCTTCGCCGCCAACCTTCGAATTATTTTCTCCTCCAAGGAACATTTTGTTCAATGTATGAAACAAGCCGACGCATCGGGCCAGGTCAATGTGTGTAGACCAATTTACTTGCTCTTGTGGAGCTGAGTACATCGGCTGTGCCATGCATCCACTTGTAAAACGTGTCCTCAAACACTACCCAGCCTGGCTTGCAAAGGGAGAACGGAAATGCATCTTCAGTTCGATAACAGAACACCTTGTGAACCTAGGCCACTTAGCTCCTTTCGAGAGCTCAATCAAAATTCTCTACAGGGTTCGATCAAAATAACTCGAAGGGAGTAAAATCAAGGCATCTGTCTACAGCTGAAGCACTAGCCATCCAGAAGTTCAAACCAGCGTTATGCGTGCAAAAAAGGTACGTCCAACCTTTATCTTCGCCATGGCCATCATAAAGCCCTGTCTGCCACAGATTCATTTTGTATTAAATTGAACCTGCATTGCGTAATTACAATCTCATTTTCATAATCCCCTGTCTATTTTCCCACTCTAAACACAAACGTGTATTAATTAACTTCCTTCCGTCATTCAATATATTTTGCCCCCTGACCGGAAACAATTCTGGAACATTCTACCCACTGCAACATGTATTCACGAATGTACAGCTTAGTAAATGACTTCGTCGAAAAGAAAAATCTTTCTTCGCTGAAACCACGTCTTGTCTTTTCCTATGATCAAATGGGTGTATTCGGCTTTTTAAAGAGTAGCGAGGACCGCACGACGGTAAAGCAACTAAACAAGTTTCTTCGGAATTTATTGAAAATAGGATAAGGGAGGAGGTACTGTTAGCTACGAAGATGACTTTATTTATCAATGTTGAGTTCAAAGGTGTCTCGGCCTTGCAAGCCGATGATGAGGATATTCTTCACTGCCAAGCTACATATCAGCTTATGTAGTTGGCAATTAGCTACAGCGTGCGTTATGAAGAAGCTATTGCTTTGGCCCATTTCAGTATATGTACACGAATTCAACTGTCTCAGTGGAGCCAAGTAAGTATATAAGGAGCATAGAGCGTGCACCTAGCAAATTCATCTCCAAGCCCTATCCTACATGGTTGTTGGAGAGGGGTGGTGGGATACAAATTAGCTGGCAGTTAAACTCCTGAACATTTGGTCAACTCTGGACATACAGCTTTACCAGAGTCCTCGTTCACTGTGATTTACAGAGTCAAAGCGAATAGTTCAAAGAGTGCGGTTTCAAAACTTGTGCACAGCAAAAGCACTGGCAATTCACTAAATCAAGTATGATGTGTCCCAATGTCTTAACTATTTCATGCTTCTTTCCCTTTCCTTTTTATTTTACTACCATCACCTTCACTATGATCCGTGTTTCTTTCTTCACCTTCTTTAGATCTATGAGGTAGAGACTCAGCGGTCAAATTTGACATCTACCAACAATTTCCATCTTGTCAAACTCCGTGCTTTTCTCGTTATTTCCATTGTGTGACATTTCCAGTCTTGGTTTCAGTTTTTAGCACTAGATTGGTGATATGACTATACTCAATTGTTATATGAAAAACTATTTTATGCCTGTGATACATATAAATACTATTGAAAATCTGGGACAATGATATCGTCGAAAAGAAATATTTTCGTTGCTGAATTATCTTACCCTTTCTTCATAAAAATATTTTACTTAAAGTTTGAGTCTGATGAAACTCGAGTTACTCTCAAGGCCCATCCTACCAGGTACTGAGATGACCAATTGAGTTTTTTTGCATTTTATAAAAAAAATTGCTTTTCCGAACAGAATAGAATCTTGACTAGTTATCTGAGTAGTTACTAAGGTAGACTTTAGACGACTCTAATAAAGACATGTCGTTGTAACGGTAACTTTTGTGTGTGCTAATATACTGTACATAATATGTCTAGATTGATTGTACGCTACACAGATAGTCGACCAAACAGAATGAAATTAAACAGATTGGACTGAAAGTCCACTGATTGATTATATATCTGACAATATTCAGTCTTAAGAATGAGACAAGAACAGAAAAAGACGGGCGAGAGTTATCGATTAATTTGAACAGTGATTTACCTACGAAAATATGACCAAGGTAGAGCAGTTGTCATCTGACCTACACGTAACGAATAATCAGTTACGGGTAATGTGGGGGTTAGCAGCCAGTGTATGAAGTTCCACCAATGAAAGTAAGGCTCTATCTGTTCTAACATGAGTATCTGCTCAAGTTTTCTGCATGTCATTATGCTTAGAATGACTTATTTGTACTGACCTTCATTTAATGATGCGGCCCATTGGTTTAAACAGCTAATAACTAACTCGAGCAGGGTCACTTGTGCAAATGTCACCCCATAAACTACGAAGGTGTGCACAGGACAAGTAGAATGGTGAAGCCTCCTCATAAAATGGATTCAAATCAAAGTATAAACCATGAGTGTTATTGCTTGTATTATACCGTCGTTGATTGAACCGAATTAATCGGTCTCTACCCCGGTGGGAACAACATCATACACTGGGAGGCAGGTACATCAAGCTAACGAGTCCCAAATAAGACGAAATGCGTATCCTGGATTCCACTGCTAGCTACTATCCATCTTTACTATAACTAGGAACACAGGTATATCGAGGTATCCGCACAGCAGCCCATATGCCAATAGAGACTGATCAATTCGGTCCAATCAACTACGGTATAATAAAAGCAATAACACTAAAACTATACTCGTCGCACAAGAATTGGCTATCGTGGCTCAGTGGCGTAGTGGATAACGCTCTGGCGCTTAAAGCGATCGCTCCCGAGTCCAAATCCCGGTGGGAACAACATCACTCACTGGGAGGCAGGCACATCCAGCTGACGAGTCCCAAATAGGACGAAATGCGCATCCTGTATTCCACTGCTAGCTACTATCCATCTTAACTATAAACCATGAGGTTAAAAAACCTGATTTCAAGTGCATATTATCGCTTCGCAGAACACTGTCGTGTTTCATGTAGTTTTTAAAGCAATGCAAAGTAGTTACGCTAGTATCGAGAATGCTAACCAAACCATTTCTTATGCACATTCCTGAAAATCGCCCACAATAGTGCAGATGTATTCACTCCGTGACGTGACGTCTTCTACAGCCTGAATATTTGTTTATTCGTTCACACTACTTTATCTTTTTTGATTTCACTCCTTTTCTATTCACCTGTTTTTTGTAAACTACTGTGAAGTGTGGCAACTTGAGCTGATTCACTTATGTGTGAGGTTCTACGTTGATTTTGTCAGTCAATCAGTCAGTCTTATGCACATAGGGAAAGTATTAGCAAAAATGGTCAACTGTCTAAAACACGGAAGCACAAAAGTTGAGTATGTAATTCGATTATTAGACAGCTGACGATTGTTTATGGAACTTCTAAAACTAACCAGTTTTTCAGTAGGAAATGAAATCAAATATCAGAGTAACCTAGAAGAGAACAAGTCACCATCTATAAGATAACATCGCAAAAATCTAATTAAAACTTATTTTACAGTATAAACTCAAGTGTTTCACTCATACCAAAGAATAATATCAATGGAATGTCGGTAATCTATTGACAAAGTCAATACCTAACAGCTGTGGTATGTATTAATATATATTAATTAGGATTGAAGAGAGATTCTACTCAAAGTTATATTGCAAATCACCTGCCATTATAATGATTTTCGACACAGAATTTTCTAACAAAAAAAGTAGTTCTTCAAAGAGAGATGATTTTGTTGACAGAAAAAAACACGATGAAAAATCTAGACGTCAGCTGTTGAAGCGTTCATAGACTAATTTAGTGACCTTGGTAAAATTTGCTTCATGAGGACACTTTAATCAAACAAAAAGTGCCTATACTCATAAATGAATGAGTTTCTTATTCAGAGACCAGAATAGCTTGAGGATGTGGATACTTCGCAACTCTCCAGGAAATCGCATTAACTCCAGATTAGCTTGTTTATTTGATTGATATAGCACACAATGATACAGAGTATAATTTAGTGGATGACATTTCAAGCAGAATTTATTGCTCGTTTCCATATTAAAGTAACCGTACGACTTTCAAACTTCCTGTGTGCAGTCCAACAGCTCTTCAATCTTTTATTTTAAAGGTTCCAGATATCTGCAATACGTCATGGAGTCATTTCTGTCACGTGTTAGATGTCGGTTCAATGAACAAAGATTCTGTGATCAATTTCTCTTACCACACAGCAAGCTATAATGGATTTCAGCATTGTCACCCTACCCCACTACTCGATAGTGTGATTATGGGTCAGTGCACACAGAATGATAGCTGAGTCTTTTCCTAAATTACCTACATCACTGGGATCTACCATTGTATGCTTTGCTAAATGCTTGTTCTTTTCTATTCTGACTGACCAAGATCGGCTGCCTTAACTTATATACTTGACCTCACAATCATCACATGGTATTTGATAGTGTTCATTGGTGATTAACGTGGCATTTAAACCTAAAAACTCGCTAGCACTAACAAGGAATCCAGATGAAGAAAATCATATCCATAACACCGGAGCAAAAACTTTGGCATTGTGGTAGAGTGTAATTCCGCTTTTGTCTTTTTATAAGAAATGTCACACAGTGAAGGAATAGTATTATTTACTGGATAACGTTTCAGACGTAATTTGTTGTCCATATTCATATCAGCTAACTCCACAGCCTATATAGTTTTAATATAAATATGGACAATAAATTATGTCCGAAAAGTTACCCAGGATATAATACTGTTTTACAGTATGACAATTCTAATAAATGGACCAAAATGGAATCATATGCTCGATTTCGCAGTAAAGAACAATTCAGACATGACTGTTTACTGGATGTTTCGAAGGTATGACGAGAAGCTTTCACTTGTATGAGGCCAAACTTAAAATGTAATGAGCAATATTCAGTTTAGAAAATTGATTTTATATAGGGCGAAACGCCCTAAGACAGTACAAAAAAATTAAGCTTCATGCTACAGACAGGTTTATCGCATGAAAATTTGCACTGTAATGATGGTGGAAATTTATTTTCAAGTTAAGTGGATCTTCATTAAATAAAACGGGCAAGGACAAGTGAACATTATTAAAAGTCAATATTAAGTAAAACTTCATCTTATCACCAAACTTACTGTGTTGCAGTTAATGCCCTAGTTTTCTAATAACATTTAGAAGTGACAAATAGATGTAGGAATGAGTGTAAAGACTTATGGGTAGTTGCCATTAAAAGTGACGACAACTAGTACCGCCCGCTAGGGATGTCCACTATCACCGTTCCTATTTAATTTCGTTATAAATAACAGGCATTATGTTAGGAGTCCATCTACTTCCTGGAGGTTATCTGGTTGACTTGGAGTACCCAGACGATACTATCCTCCTATATGAAAACGCTGACATAATGCAGGGTCTTCTGAACGCGTTGAGCAGAAATCTAAGTATGTTCAAAATGTGTTTCACACTTTTCAAATGCATCACGATGTTTCAGGACTGCTATGAAAATAATCCTCAATTAAGGATGAGGAGCGAATTGGTGAAATGTGTCGTCCATTTCACTAACTTGGGGAGCTGCATCAGCCCGAACGGGTTGGTTGCTAACGAAATCTCAGCTCGGATAGAAACGCATATACCAACTTACGTCATCTGTGGCACTGGTGAGATATCCGAATATCTATTGAAAGAGGAGCATACTGAACTGCAGTCAATTGCATCCTGTTGTACGGCTGTGAGAAAAGGCTGATAAAAGTAGAAGACATGAAACGATTACAGGGTTTTCATTCTAGTAGCATTCTTCGCGTTTCGTGAAATCAATGCGTAAACAATATAAAGGTCAATCGAAGGGTAATAAGCAAGATAGGCAAGTCGATTCATGAGATTGTGAACCTTCATCGCCAGATTTGGCTTGAACATGTACTGCGCCTATCCACCTACCTCGACGAGACATGCTAGCTGGGGGAAGTTGGATTAGGTTGGAAGAGGGCTCATGGGCTCAATCCAAGACGTGGCACCAGTCAATCAAGTCTCATACTGTTGGGCTGAACCACAGGGAGAGATGTAGACTGCCTGACTGGGGTACCCAAAACGGAGGGAATCGATGGTGGAGGACTGTTGATGACGTAGCTGAAAATCGGTCACAATGGTGCAGATATGTTCCCTCTCTGAAGTGACGTCTTCTACAGCCTGAATATTCGCATAATCTTTATCTTAAAATTCCTTATTCTCTTACACAACTCTGTTTACTTCGATGTCACTCTTTTCCTGTCCACCAGTTCTTTGTAAGCTACTGTGAAATGTGTCAACTTGAGCCAATTTATCTGTATGCGAGGTTTCACGTTGATTCTGTCTGTATTGTTGGTTAGTGAATAGCTCTGTCATTTCCTTACATATCTCATATAGTTTGATGAAACACAATTTAATGGAGTTACAGTTGTTATTCACGCTCAGTTTGAGCTATCCCATCCATTGAGTATTTTGTTTCGAATAAGGCTAGTTAGTCATTTCATTTGGTGATGTGACTGGTACCATTCCATAGTGTATATCACAGCAGATGAAATAAATCAATATCAAGTACATAGAAAGGCTGTTGAAACCAACTCATATGTAAGTTTCAAACTAGGCATAGACTTGTGTAAGTGAGTACCAATGAATTACTGATAGCAGAACTAATTATAAGCTTTTCGAATGAACCCCCGAAGTAACCTACACATCAGTAGAAGTACGATTTTAACAAGTGTAGACTTCAAATGACATTCACGTACAGGTTATGAAACCAGCACCATCAAGGCTCTTTAAGATGATACATATGTGTAGCCCACCACTGTCTACTCCAATGCACTACGTTACCTAGAATGGGTGGGGTCAAGGTGGTTCGATGCTAAAAGTGACCAAGAAATCTCGCCATCTTTTCTTCCTGGATTAGGTCAATGAGGTAAGTGAGATAACTTATAATGAAAGGCATGAAAAGGCTTACGAAAAGTCATTAGAAAATGAATGTGTAACTTAGTTGAAGTCTTAACTTACCAACATAAAATCTAAAAGACCATCCCATGTAATAGCTGATATAATAATACGATAATGGTTATTTTTAACCAAATTAGCAATCAAAAGACCGTAGAAGTCTGTTTCATCAGCACTGTAAATTCAAAGAAAACAGTCATAATTAATTCATTTAAATGGACACATTTATCGTATTTGTCTAAATAAATGAATAATTTGTGCTAGCAGTTCTTATAACGAACACTTTAATTGATTCACTTCATGATTGAAAAGGAGACAATACAACTACGACAAAACACACCTATTTGTTGTAATATACAAGAGATCAACCCGAGTGGTTTCTAACTGCTCAATTTGTTCAGTAATAGTGTATTTCGCTAGTTTATGACACTTTTGTGTCAGAGATCATGCCTTACGCTATCTGGTGATTAGTTTCAAGTGGAAACCTTGTTGACTCTACAATAGGGTAGCAGTTGAAAAATTACTCAGCTGTGAGAAATGTCAATATGGATCGTGCAATTTGTAAATCATTTGCAAACTGATCATCTTATTTTAAGTATACCGGTCGGCGCACGCAAACCATCTAGCCAGATTTAGGTGATGTGAACTAATTCGACCCTATGAGCTGAATTTGTCCGGGTACACTGTCAATGAGCTCCGCCCCAAGCGAACGAAACAACAGTCCGGTGTTTAGATTGCTCTAATCTGGCTGGTGAAACGCTACAACAGCTCAACCTTAGTGGTCCTATATTTTTTAACTACAGCGAAATGTTCCTGAAGGTCACTGGTTTACAGGTATGCACTTAAAAGACAAAATGAGCAACTCTTCTGCGCTGCATATTTTCAGACAGGAACATCGAACTGCTAGCTATATTTCGTTTAGAACTTTTCTACCGGAACAAAAGTTTATTATGGATAAATGGAATCTGATCCGCGAAAAATCGATACTGAATCACCCTAACCAAGTATTGCCCACAATATCAACGACCCAGTAACATACACGAAACATCTTCGTCTAAATTTTGAAAATTTTTATCACAAACCTATATCTACTTAATTTTGTCTTCTTTTCTTCGTTTCAAAGCTTCTCCTGACTGATTATATTATTATTTTCGCCTCAAAATCTTTGTTCTTGTAACGTAATGAACCAGATCGATATGCGGTTGTCACTCATGCTGTACTACCTGCATCTGCATGTCGATCGACAGATACGATCTTTTATAGCATATGACTGAGAAAGATTGACACGTTTTACGCACATCACCTCAACAAGTCCTATGATACTGCGCAAAAATATTGAAAGTGGAAAAATATGGAGGGCAATAATCATCTGACATTATTCAGTATATCTGAGTGAAAGTACGCTGTAATAAATTAGTGCATCAAAAGCTTAAGTAACTTGATACCCTCACTGTTATGACAGACAGAATCAACGTGAAACCTCGCATACAGATAAATTGGCTCAAGTTGACACATTTCACAGTAGCTTACAAAGAACTGGTGGACAGGAAAAGAGTGACATCGAAGTAAACAGAGTTGTGTAAGAGAATAAGGAATTTTAAGATAAAGATTATGCGAATATTCAGGCTGTAGAAGACGTCACTTCAGAGAGGGAACATATCTGCACCATTGTGACCGATTTTCAGCTACGTCATCAACAGTCCTCCACCATCGATTCCCTCCGTTTTGGGTACCCCAGTCAGGCAGTCTACATCTCTCCCTGTGGTTCAGCCCAACAGTATGAGACTTGATTGACTGGTGCCACGTCTTGGATTGAGCCCATGAGCCCTCTTCCAACCTAATCCAACTTCCCCCAGCTAGCATGTCTCGTCGAGGTAGGTGGATAGGCGCAGTACATGTTCAAGCCAAATCTGGCGATGAAGGTTCACAATCTCATGAATCGACTTGCCTATCTTGCTTGTTACTCTTCGGTTGACTTATATATTGTTCACACAGCGATTTCAACAAACGCTGTCTGTTATAGCTCAGGATCGTTGATATTAGTTAGCCTATTACTAATTTCACTTCTCATTTCCGAGAAAAGTTGCTGAGGAAACCACTTTAGGTTCTCTGGGTGATTTTTTCATAATATATTTTCTCTGATGTCTTCACGCTGTACATCTCTATGTAGATTGTCACTTATTACATCTACTCATGCGCACTTAAATGAACAATGATTCCAGTTGTACTCCAGCATTTGTAGCGCTTATCATGAGCTTTAATCAAACAACAACATCAAAAAGACGCTAATTAACTCAAGAGTTTCACTGTAAGTATAAACTCAGTATTGTTAAATGCTATCGAAACGGAGAAACATGAAAATAGACAATGAAATGAAGTATGGAGATCTACCAGAATTCAGTTAATTATTTCTTCTGAGAAAGAAAAGAAGGATAGTCATGGTTTTTCCTACGAAAACAATGAGGAAGTAATGATTGATAAGACAGTCAAGAAAGAATGTGTTGCTCAGAACAACTCCAATCAATTTTGGTGTTATGTTCTCTTCAAAAGTTTGTGCTGACGATGCCGTCTAGAATGACAACGAAAGCTCCACGATTCAACAATCTAGCTCAGAAAACACAACACTAACAAAATTATCCTCTTGAGCTACAAAAATGAGAGTTCCTCCATTTGACGAACTTGAACAAAGCAAGAACAACCAAATTATTATCAATCCAAATCAAAAATTCAGGATGAATGTATTTCGTCGACTCTCCTCAGCCACTTTACAGCCTATGTAGAGTATCATATCCCTGATAAAAAGGACGGCATACAACGTTGGTTTATTCATTAACAAGGTTTTTACTAAGATAACAGATACAGATGCAGGCTGACCGAACTCGATGAAGTTGTCCAAACTACTCAAAGGTTGAATACTTACACAACGATAAAGTAAACACTCTAGAAATTATAGCAGAAATTAGGAAAGGGGTGTAAAGAAAGTCATTCTTGAATCGCTATTAAGTGGGTGTAATCAAGGGTTAACAAGTTTTCATTGTAGTGAGTTGAAGGATGAACGCAACTAGAAAGTTGAGAGGTTTCGGAACAGATTAAAGGAGAAAATGAACAAACAGGTCATGAAATGTTACAGTTACAGATTTACGCGACTGAAAGTACCAACATGAAGCCAGACTGATAACACTAAAGATCAGATTTGAGTCTTTTGATGGCAATTGCTTCAGCGAAGTGTAAAAGGTCCAGTTAAGTTTATTTATTGATCACTTTGAACGAGCTTGGTACGTCGACATTAGGTCTAGCATGAGGTTGATCTTGAGTGATCGCACTATTTAAACCCTGTAAACCTTGAAGACTCAAATTCTACGGGATCTGTCTAGAAATGCAAGAACCTTTCTCTGCCAAAGTTATGCATGTAAATTAGTAGATGTAATTAGAGGTAACAAGAGTTGGATACTTGTCTACTTTTGATTGTTTCAATGAGCAGTTAGTTTGGTACACCCAGACTACCTAAGTGGCTGGAAAGGTCTTTTTCCTTGCCGCACTCAGTCCGTAATTGGTTCTTGATACAATTTCATCACCTTCAAAGGTGGGCTTCTCAACTGTACTGAATTCTTTTTGTTTCGGTCCGACCGTGCTTATTAATGAACTTTTGTGGATGACCATTTTCGCGCAGGCAGTTTTCAACAACGGCCAATACCTCCTCAATTTTTTTTCTTTTCAAAGCACACTTTGCGCGTATGGTTGAAAAGTGTTCTTATCAGACATCCTCTTGTGACTGATTAGACAAACGTTGTTGAAGCTTAGATAAAGCCGACCTCATATGTTATTTCGATGGATGTAACTATAAATCTTTCCATCTGAATGAGGTTGCCTGCCAAGGTTCAGGAAGCGAAATTTTTTATGTTCACCTTTCATTCTTAATGCAACGGAGTGAGGTTCATTAAAACGAATCAATGAATGATAGGCATTCACACTATTATTACACAGAAAGAATGCATCATCAACGCACACTGTACAGAATGCTGTCAGATCGACCGCACACTTGTTTTGTCAGTTCTAAGCTCCCCATTAACACATCAACGAGGATCCTGTTCGGAAGGCTAGAAATAGTGACTCCATCAATTTGATGGTGTAAAACTTTATTGAAACCGCCGTAGCTCACAAGCCCAAAAAAATCTCTCTAATTTCCGTTATGCAGACCAAAAGATACAATAACAAAGAAAAACAAACCAAACATTATCTACAAAATAAACTGCAGAAACTGTGGAAACAAAAAATGGGACAGAGTGGTTCCTGTATGAGTATCCGTCTACATAAACAACTAGCAGCGAAGCATCATGACATATCTTCGCTTATATTACACATACGGATGACTGAGAAACGGCCTAAATTAAGTCAATGAGGGGCCTTAAAAACTTTTGGCAACTCAACTGGTAAAAGATTCTGTTAATCTTAGCATTTTAAGGGATAGAGATTCGTCTCGAATAGAAAATTACTGGGCATTCCTAAATAGTATTTCAATATTCATAAAATTATATGGTACAAAGGCTTTCAAATACTAAACAACCATGTACATGTTCCTGTAGCAAAGTGTGAACCCTACCAATTTCTTGAAGGTTGGATCATACAACCTGGCTACAGTAAACCTCACCAAAGTGAGCAGAACTCGATCACATGGCTTAATGATTGAAAGTCAAGTCCCTAAACTATTTTCTATTCTTAAACAGCTTGAAGAATTTCAACTACAAAACTTACAGGAAAATGCTTTATTCAAGAATAGGAAGCATTGAATACAGAAGAAATATTTACCTCAATGCTAAACTAAAGACTTACATTAATGGTTTTTCAATAAAACCTAAGAAATCACCATCAATATCATTTTCTCTGACTAATAAACTGAAGCAATTAGTCCAGAAAGCAATGCATTCTCGGGAGCCATATAAAACTGAAATACAACATAAAATAAGCAGTATAGAAAGTGGAAAATATTTGTGTTTCAATATGGAAATTAAAGGAATAAATAAAAATCTTCTAAGTACTTAAAACATCATTTCCGCTTTCATCCACATCTAGGTAAAACAAGATTCTCTATTCCTAAACGAAACGTGATTCCTCCTTGCAAAATGTTTAAATATACCCATCACCATATCGAAATCATCTGATTTAAACTAACTGTAAATATCCTATCAATCGTTGCAAGAAATGAAAGTTTTGATAACTGTGGTAATAATGAATGCACAGTACTAAGTAATAGTGACAGCGTAAAAAACCTAAAAGCCTAGAGTGTAGCAACGAAATCCTCTGAATACTCAACTTGTTCCTAAGAAAATGTAAGCCGAAGAGATAGATAGACATAAACGCATAGGATATGCCATTACTGCACAGTGATCTAAGTTTTCAAATATCAAGCTGTCGGATTGCAAGGTGTATCAATGGGAAGGAAAACAAAGAATACACCACAAACATACTAACTGTGAGACTAGAAGAAAAAAAATGATAAGATGTGTCGATGTTTAATGATAAGACGAAGAACAGATGTGCATAAACCACTCCACTTAATTTTGAGCTAAGTTTCATACACAGTTTGTAACCACTAATTTCAGCTGTCTTTTTGATTTAGGTCAAGGAGTATTCACTTCTCTCTACGGTCAAAACTAATAGTCAGATATGTCTTCAGTGGGTGCCATGTCTGGGATAGACCACAAGGCAGAGGTAATATGGAAACTTTTCGCTTCCACTCATGTCACAAACTTGTAGCACCATCGACTAGTCACTTCAAATGATGTGTACACAGCATATTTGAGAAATATGAGACTAATGAAAGAGAGAGTTTGATCGAAAATGCATAAAAAAAGAACTGAGATCTAATGATGGCATTTTAGAGCATTCCGTTTTAGTACGTTTCTATACATTACTTGGTAGTAATATGAATCTCTGGATAAAAATTTAATAATCAGCTTCATTGGAGTTGTCGCAGAAGCAGTAGAGCAATCAATAACAAAACGAAATTCACTACCTTCCAAATGGATTGCACATCCAATTCCTAAAGTCTCAGTGATCTTGTTTTATCCTAACCTGTTGACAATGTGGTTCAAGTAAGTTAACTTAGTGTCATCGCAAACATGTCAGATATTCCATCCTTCCTTGTATCATCTACTGATTTATAATTTACGAGATGCAAACTTTTGTCAATCGAACAATAATCATACGCATTTACTCTTTTCAAACTGGACACTCTTATTTGCTAAGCCATGCAGCAGGACAAAACCCGCTGAAAAACAGTACGTCTGAAAAGTAAATAAACATCCAGATGTCCCACTGACACCGCGAAATCAAAAAAGCCAGTCAAAACTTTTAGATACGTACGGAGGTTTTGTCAACTCATAACCGCCAAAGAAGAGGTTATCCGTTAAGTGAAAGACATTCGATGTGCTAAGCTATATCTCTACCAACTACCAAAACGACGTGGAGAAGTCCTGAGACAACAAATTGCATTTTAATGAGAAATGCATCCCATTCGCATACATGTCATCATTCAATGTGCTCAAAACGTTGCATTTTAACATCACCCACATCATTTTGAAAGGCTACTCCGTCCTGATGTGAATGAAAACTAAGCGTAATTAGAATCGGTGTTTTTTTGAAAATAAGGGCATGAAAATGAAGAAAGCTCCTCCATACATGTGTCTCTGAAAGCTGATTCACTTTTAATGCCGTACTCTGAAACTGTAAAGTAAACGGATGAGTTATTCCTACGGTTGATATTTCCACTTTGATGATGCAAAGGTAGGTTGGCTCGATCTACTGGCCATCTTCAAGAGACACCTACTATAAATAGCGATTCATTCAATAGTACAACTTCATGTGTGAACATAACAGTAGGCAAAACTAGAACTGTAGCATGTAAATGACACCGAAACGTTTCCACCACTCGATTAGAAACACTAAGTATCGATTTTCATCACTTTTTGTAATAACTAGTATGAAATCTACAACTGTAACCTACTCACCAAATCTTTACCACTTTCTATCACATATACTAAGAATATCAATTTAATGTTTGGAAAAAAAACGCAAAATTCAGGCAGGAAATCTACGCTACCATGTTTCAAGCTGAGAGCAGTTTTAACTTTTCAACCAGTTTCTCAACTGAATTAGAAATTGGACACATGCTTTAGGAGTAAAGTTCACAACAGATTTCAAAGTAATTCAATATGGAGGTTTGTAAGGATTCATTGATTTCAATTTGGTATTTACTACAGATTCACATCAATTAGAGAACCATTGAAAACCTGAGAGAACTGAACGGCTGTCCCACCTAGAATGGGACTCCTCAGCAATGCGCACCCATAACCCCGCAAGGTATCGAAAGCAGGATCTTCACGTCTCGCCATGAACACGTTACCATTGAGCTACTTGGTCGGGATACAATGGTCCATATTCCAAAGTAGTTTTATATGAAACTGACAGCACGAGTAAGCTCTTTTACACCTTTACGCTCAATAGCAGCAACCGTCCACAGCTTCATACAGGGTTCTCATTACGTTTTTCTGATGCACATTGGAATGGAAAACTGAAATGCATCGCGTAGAGAATGGCTAGAAACTTTACCTCGGATGGGTTTTAGAAGCTCGGCCGAAATTTGCTAGCCAAATAATGTGCATCAGACATGTCGAGGATTGGATACAAATACAAGTCGTCGGTTTCGGGTACCCTGCATAGATGAGGAATGCTTAATCTAGACGGTTTTATGTCCTTGTTTAGTTCAAAATGATGACTGATTCACTCTACACTCATTTTAGAATTTAAGTCACCTGATGATTAGTTAACCTCGCCTGGTTAACTAGTTCACTAGTTACTAGCCGATCCTAAGCCCGGATAAAGAGGGAAGGTTGGGCATAGGGCTAGCAACCCTACCCCGGAAAACCAATTCAACCGCTACAGAAACTTCAAAACACAAAGAAAATAAATGATAAAAATAAACTCATTCCTCGCTGGAACAAGGAAGACGCCGACTGGTGAAAGCCTTCGAGAAGCCAGTCGGCCTATGTGTCTTCTCTCGATGAAAGCGAAAGTAGGAATGGGGACAAAGAATATCCGCACCATGTATAAACCTAGCAAGGGTACCCAGATTGCCAAACAGATGAGAAGGTATGGCATAGAAGTGCTAGAAATCTGCGAAAGCAGATAGAATAGAAGTGGACTCTCCAAACTGTCAACTGGAAAGTTAATAATTTATCCCAATATTGTCACCCAGACGACAACCACGAGCACACTGAGTTGTGGAATGGCTATCATGATGTCCCCAAGAGCATTGAAGGCTCTCATACAGTGGGAACCAATCTGAATCATGACAGCAAGATTCAACTCCAAGGGAAAGAAAGTCACAATCATACAATGCTACGCTACCCACCTACAATTAATGCAGAAGAAGAGAAGGAAGAATTCTATACACAACTGCAATCAACACTGGACAAGACCCCACAGCAGTTGACCACATTAAAATTCTAATGGGCAACATGAATGCCAAACTGAGAGCGGACAACACATGAAGAGAACTAACCATGGGTCGAGAAGCGCTGGGTGAAATGAATGAGAACGGAGAACTGTTTGCAGATTTCTGCGAATTCAACGATTCGGTGATTGGAGGCAGTGTGTAAAAACACAAGGATATTCACAAAGCGACATGGATTTCACCAGACACCAGGACACACTAAAAATCAGATGGACTTCATCTCAATGTGAAGAAAAAGGGAGCCGCAGACTACTGGACACAAGATGAAGAAGGGAAGCAGATGTAGGTTCACACCAATCACCATATAGTCCAAAGAACCTTCCAAATCAAGTTTAAAGCCTTCAAAGAAGTTAGTGGCAGACCACAGTCCAAGTTCAACACCCAGAAACTGAAGGACGAAACTACCAGGGACATCTTAACGTCAGCCATCAGAACAAAATGGGAGACATTGAGCAACATCCCTGAAGGATCGATCGTGGAAGAACACTTGAACTCTTTGAAAGAGATATGGAAGGAAACCTGCATAACCGTACTAGGAAGGAAGAAGAAAGAAGATAAGGAATGGATCTCCACGGACACATGGAAGCTAATAGAACAGGGAGAGGAAGATGCTAAAGCAGAAGAGGAACAAGTGCAGTGCAGGGATGAACAACGGAAAGAGGAACTGAACACAACCTATAAAACACTACACTGGACAAAAAGTGAAGAAGAGTACGTGCAAAGTCAACAGACTTTTCTATGACACATAGGCAAGTGAAGCAGAACAGGCTGCTGGTAGGAGAGACCTGACAACACCATATCAAATAACCAGGTTACTATCTGAGAGGGAAGAGATCAACACAGACGAAACCAATAAAAGATGATGAAGGAAACCTAGTTACCAAAGAGTAAAAAAAACAGATGGCTGACCACTTCAAAAAAACTCTTGAATCGATCAACACCACCACCTGCAGCCCAGGCACAGAACTACCAGTGAACACAAGCCCTCCGACAAAAGCAGAAGACCTGAATACCATAAAGTTGCTGAAATCCGGGAAAGCAGCAGGACCAGATGAAGTTACACCAGAAGCACTGGAAACAAATGCAGAGACAACAGCCGACATGCTCACGCCACTACTGCACAAGGTTTAGAAGGAAGGAAAGGTACCTGTCCACTGATTGGAACAAGGGCTACCTTGTCAAACTCCCAAAGAAGGGTAACCCAAGTGTTTGCAGAAACTGGCGACGAATCATGCTCCAGCCCTCCCCACCTTAAGCAATATATTATGCCGCGCCTTCCTGGAAAGCCTAAAAAATGCTCTGGATTCAAAATTACGACCAGAACAGGCTGGTTGGCTGGTTTCAGGAAGAACAAATCATATGCGGATCAAACTGCAACGCTACACTACGCATGATCATAGAACAGAGTATAGAATGACAGTCAACTCTCTACCTCAACTTTATTGATTTTGAAAAGGCCTTCGATAGCGTCGACTGAGAAGTAATTTGACAGCTGCTTCAACACTACAGTTTTAGTGCAATAGAACTTTATCAACCTCATTCAACAGTTATATTACAACGCCACATGCCAGATGATTCACAATGGAAAGCTCAGTGACGCCTATGAAGTTAAGTGAAGACATGAGTAAGAGAAGGTTGCCTAGTATCACCAATGATCCTCCTGATTGTGGTTGACTGGAACGGATCATGCAGCAAACCATGGGGAGCGAGAAGAGAGGCATACGCTGTTTGACCGATGTGATGAAAATACCCTACAAGATTTAGATTTCGCCGATTATCATTTATGCCGAATGTCGCACAAACTCGAAGATGTACAGGCGAAAACTAACAAGTTGACAGAAGAGGTAGAGTAGCGAAAGCGAAACTTCAAGTGAAAGCAAAGAAGACAGAGGTGATGAAGATACCCAACCAACGACAGCATCAACAACAAGTACCAATCACCATCAACGGGAGAAACCTAAAGGAAGTAGTCTCTTTCACCTACCTTGGCAGCATCGTTTCACCTACAGTCGGTACAGATGAGAATGTCAAAGCCAGCATCGGAAAAGCAAGACAGGCCTTCATCAATCTGAAGCCAGTGTTGAGATCTACTGCACTTCACTCGGCATCAACAACCAGATCCGGATTTTCAACACCAACGTCAAGTCAGTGCTTCTATGTGATGGTTCAGAAACTTGTCGCGTCACGAAAAGCATTCCCAATAAACTATAGACATTCATCAACAGCTGCCTACGCTGGCTCGATATTGATCAGATGGCCAGAAAGAATCAGCAACGAGGAACTCTAGTCTGGCAACGAACCAACCAAGAACAACGAGTTGGGCGTCCGAGGGTGACATGGAGAAGATCGTGTGAGGAAGAAATAAAAGCTTCTGGGCAGTCATGGAGCGAGGTTCAAAAGACAGCAGAGAACAGAGTGAAGTGGTGACGGTCTACTGAAGCCCTAGGTCCCACTAGAAACCCAAGGGACACAGTAATAATAGTTAATAGATGACAGTTATTACCTTGAAGTAGGCAGAAAAGCAGCATGGGACTTGGCATTACTCCGTAATGATCCCAGTTGCCAAACTAAGCAAGAACTCGTTAAGACTAAATATGAAGAAATAAAGGAGAAAGCAATGAACAGTGCTAGAGAGTCATCAAGAGAGAACAAGGAGAAATGAGACAATACAGCAGTTCAACAGGACGATTAAGTCGAAGATAATATGTAAACAAATTAACTCCATTAACATAGATTCTGATTTATATCACCTAGACTCCCAAACAACTAGTTTTTGCTGTCACGTGAACCCCAAACGGCTGGTATTCATCTGCCTACATGACTCACACTAACAGTCAAAGATTTCATGCACTGATGTCAAGTTTTAACCTGACTACCTCGAGCCTTTTTCCAACCTGAACCTAATTCAGCTAACATCGCACAACGAGGCAGACGATGACTAGTCGTGCATAATAAATGGCCCAGTCAACCGAGTCACTGAAGGTTCATAAAAGCATCAACTGACTTTCATCTCTTTCCTAAAACTCTTCACCTGACTTCCACGTTACTCACGTGGTGCCATCATGATACACGCTCAATACTGCAAGGGAAACGACGGTTGAACATCTTAAGCCCACTCACGTCTTCTACCTGTAATGGCTGTCTCACGGCCATATGGTAGGACAGAAAGGACTGAATCGCAGGACACTCAATTCCTGATGGGCAATGGAAACTACAGGGCACGAACACTCGACAGAATAAGGAATATTAGGTCCCGGTAAGGAGGTAAATCTGGAAGAAAACTCAGTCAAAGCAATGCATACAAACAAACAACAGGATGTGACAAAGTGGCAATCCTAATAAATATCTTATCAGGCAGAAAGGGAGGTCGATAGCTGGAGCTTTTTTGTTGAGTCGACATCGAAAATATGAAACAGAAATGACCCAATACAGATTCCAGAGATTTATAAAATTTTACTATCCGTAAGGTAAATGAAGAGAAAATAAAGCTGCGAAAACACGAAGTTGAGAATATGAAGTTATCTTTAATACCCATATTGACAACAAATTGTGTTCGAAATGTCATCCAATAAACATTACTGCTTCGTTACATGAAATATGCAAAAGAATTAACACGGAACTACACATTATAACATTTATTAGGATTTCATTATTACTCTTCAACCCGTTCAGCTGGCTGATATGATCTTTGGTCAGATGGCCAAACTGTTTTGGCTGTTTGGGAATTGATAATCACAATCAAGTGAGGTGGATTTGAGGTGCGCCCCAGTTGAAGCAGCTAGATCATTTTTTCATTCATGTGTACATACCAACTCACCTACTCCTGTGAAACTGGGTCCATAGGTCGCACGTAAACAGACTATTCAACGTGGATGCCATCACCATACAGTGGAGATCGGTAAATGTCAATGCAGACCGACTAACGGTTACTTCCTACGATATGCAGTTGACAGTAAATATGGTTCCAGAAGGTCCGTTTCGTGTTCCACAAAATACAGCGTGATCTTCCAGGGGTGAAGAAATGTTGAATTTGCATTACTGAAGCACTGGCAATACGCGAATGTAAGGCAGAGATGTGTCCACAGTGGACTTTAAATTTCCGAGACTTTTTGGTTCTAATGCCCGACTAACCCTTTCTCGATTTTCATTTTGTCAGTATGCAAACGTTTTGTATCAGTTACTAGTTTCTCGTTAGCTTCCAAACTGACGACTAATAACTTACTTTGTTACGTGCTGTTTCTTGGTTTTAACCCACACTTACTAAAACTCGTAAATATTCCTTTGCTTCTTATATAAGTTTCTTATCTGCATTATTTTCCTAACCACAATTTGTGTTCACAACAGGTACCATTAAACACACACACACTAAGTGGTTGTAGAAATCTTCAGAGCGATGTCCCCGAAAATAAGCTTGTGCGCTGAAGTCTTTTTACGACGGGTTGGTGGTAAGCAGATACACTACATACCTTTTGGAAAACTTTCTACACCAAAACAACAGACAGTGTGATTCAACTGTCTTTATAGGTTCATATTCTTTAACTTTATCGAGCTTCTTACCTTTCTTTCCCAATGCCATCAGGCAAGATGAACAATGAAGGTAATTGTTTTCTTTGAAGTGGAGGGAGTGCGGTTCAATCAATGAGAGATCTAGTATTAATTCCAAGCCTGTGAAAACAGAGTCCAAAGGAGAAGGCGGTTTCTGTTCTCCCAATAATTCTTGCACGTTTACAGATTTCTCAGTCAGTCTGACAGGGTTATCCCTATTCTCATGACAGAAGAAACCACCTTCAATACTTAAGCTTTCTTCCCCAAGAGTAGTGGGTTTCGAAAAGTCAGTGGAACATGTGACGTCTCTAGAAGGTTAAGGTGAACAGTCTACTCACTTGATATTTCCTAGCTTTTGTTGGCAAAACTTGCATAGAATATTTTCGGCAGAATGAATGTTGCTCTGCAACTTATGGAACTTATCCTTATTTTCGCAAGATAAGGTGTTATATGATACATCAAAGCTGAAACACAAGATATCTTCACTAACTGAACAGAGGTTCTTGCATGTCACACACGATATGTTTAGTCCACTCAGTGCTATTCGATGGATTATACCATTATTTTGAACTTCGATAACGTCCGGATTCACATTTAAGCGACACACTCTGAAAATAAAGAAAGAACGCAACGCTCAAACTTTGACTTCTTCGAGGGGCAGTAGGTCACGTTAAGACTTTTATTATTATCGACAGCCTCAGCAAACAACATTTATAGCGATTTCAACCGGCGCGGTGTTTCCACCTGCAACAAATCAAGCCCTGCTCAAAGGTCATGGGTCCAAACTTCCATAAAAAAAACCAACATTGGCAAGCTTTATGCTGATCCAAGTTTCCTGTACGTGAAAGACACGGAACTATGAACAACAGTCACTACATTGAAATGGATGACAACACCAGTTACGCCAGTCATAGGGTTGTTAAAAAACTGATGGTTTCTTACCTCTCATGGTTGAGGATCATGGCTCAGTTCACTTCGACCTCCGGTAGCGCCAGAAGTCTCTCCTGCTTCAATTTCTGCAGCTTCGGATGCAGCGGTTATCTGTACAAAGGGCTACTTATATCGTGATTCGTGGACTTAGTAGTTCGAGAAGCTGTCGCGGTTGTTGTAGGTTACTTAGTGACTTGATTACAGCCCACAAGATAATAAGCGACTCTAGCCACCAAACAGTAGGGTTCCACAGAACGTTTACGATGGTAGACATTGTGGAGACCTAAAAAGAATCACATATCAAGGATTCAAAACCTATGTGTTCACACCACATCTGTTTTCGGGCCTTCGGCTATTCGAAGGCATTATCTCATTACGTTTCCATTGTCCCATCTGTCGACTACTTTCAGAAATTAAAGTATTTGTCCTAGTGCGAACCTGACAGACACAAAGACCAATCACTAATTATTCGGACTTGTTATATACCCACGAATAAGAGGCCAAGGAAGAACACGAAAGCGTAGTCGGATGGAATGGTATATTTGGATGGTCGTGCCGAAATACCGATGCGTTCCAACTAACTGGCTAGAGAGTCGAATACGAGCGGTGCAACGTAACACGACAGCGTGCCAAATGGCGAGGATGCTTGACCGGGTGCCTTCAGCTTAGCGAGTCCAGTTGAACTATCAAGGTCAGCATCAATGTCGAAAGTCGTCAAACCCTAGGCTATTGATTTTGGGGGAGTGTGTGACGCTGCAAAATGAGCGCAGACCTACGTGGCAGCAGGCAGACCGCCCTCGTTCATTTGGGATACTGACTGATCCAAAACAGCCATGTGATTCCGCATCAAACCCGTACAAGTTCGCTTTTTTTGGACGTATCAGTACCGTGCTTTTCCCTGCTTCTTCTTCCCCCTCTAACCTTCGTAATTCTTACCCTGTTCATTCAGGTTCTCCGTATCTCTAATTTTTTCTCCATCCGTATTCGTGCTTACTTTCATTTTTAAGTCTCGTTGCACACCTGTCTGTCAAATCCACATTCGAAAAGCTCACCTTTTAAACAATTCAGGACAAATCTCACGCCTTCCTGAAAATTTAACCGGCACTCAACCACCCAGCGGGTTTACCAGAGTTACAGTCGGTAACTGGATTTGTCTACTGTATCCGAATCTCGAAGGGGACCAGGAACCGTTTGGCAAGGCAGAGAAACCGGCGCTAAGAAGTCAGTTGGCTTGGAGGAACCGCAAAGAGGGACCGCCATCCTAGGATGGCTTCAGATAAGAGCTACGAACAAGGTGGTTGGGATACAGCACAGAGATTACCTGGATCAGTTAAGTGCTCTTAATTCGCATCCGGTACGAAACTGTATGCTTAGAAGGATATGACCATGGTGTGTAACATTACCCATAATCTCCATTTTAACTGATGACTCATAAGTTCTTTTTAGGAACATCGCCATGGAGGTCATCCTATAGGATCAGAGCGTGAGAGGTCACTTTCAGTAAACTGCGCTAACTGATCTGGAATTGAGGAACACCCTTGATGAAGTCGTCACAAATCCCTCTCCATGTGCTTTCAATAGGACGTTGCATGCACATTTAGAGTACCGTGGTAAAGGTAGAATACACTCAAGAAGCCACCGGTGGTCTTAAAAACGATGGTTATTAGCACCATCTATGGGATGTGTGTACTCCTTGAATACTGGCGTGTTTCGACTGGGCTGCGTTCTCCTCGGAAAAAACTATATGTAAGCCTTCCCAATCGGATATTTCCTCAACGAAAATAACGGTTTTACCGGAAAAATTTTTTCTACGGAACGTGTTATCCTCAACCGGTCGATACATCCTCCAAACGGACAACTGCGGGGTAGGTCTAACTGTCTCGATCAACTGATATCGCTCAGGTTGGTGCATCTGCAGCGCCACCTATCTCACTCGATCATACACCCCGGACCTGCGGGAGGCTTTCGGGATTCTTCCTCGTCGTATAACTGGTAAGATTGATAACTTACTTTGTCTATCATTGCTTTTCTGCGTTTCACTTGATCCAACCATCTGTGTCATTTATATCCCCCAAATCACCTGTGGAAATGGGTGGCAACCAAGTTCCAGTCAGACCTGGTCTCAGGAACATCTCAAATAAAGTGTCACCTCACCTACTAACCTCCCCATTCTCAGCAGCAACTAGGGCTGAAGAGGAGAGGCTTAATGCCACTGCAAAAAGTCACCGGCCGACCTCAGGAAGACAGTCATAACTGCCACTTCTTGCGAATTGTCGAATTCCTGCCCCTCTGAACCCTTGTGCTTTAATTCATCGAAAAGCATGTCTTTCTGTTACCACTAGCCCAAACCTTAGTCTGCTTGTGAATGCTATCACTGAGGGGCGGAAGAGAAGGAAAAGAAAGTCTTTGACTGAACCTGCTGGTCAGACTGATGACTACCATACGTGTGTTCCTACCGTTGCCAAAGGGACGCTGCCTTTGAGTGTAACATCTGCACTAGGTGGGTACACAGTCAGTGTAATGAGGACATACCAGACCAATATTACGCGTTCATGGCGCGCTACTGACACGCTTGGTTCCGGTACACTTTCCCACAGTGCGGTATAAGGCAACTCTCTTCCACATGCTTGTTAAAGGAGGTCATAAAAGACACCGCAGTGGCCGCTGTGGTGCCGGCACCCGCATAGACAACCACCCCAGGTCCAAGCGACAAGAGTGTCAGCACCGTTCCCCGGACAGTCATACCTACGAATGGTCCAAAAAGACCCAAACGACGACCAGACAAGCGAACAACCGCATTAGTCCCCAACCCTGAAGTCACTTTGACGGCCACTCCCACTGTGCATCAGGAAAAACATGCCACAGTGGAAAAACAGGTTCAAACCTCTCATAAAGGCCCACCCACAGTACATCACAACAGAGATGTTGATGACAGATCAAATTCCTTCATCATATTTAACGTCCCCGTGTGCCATGATAACCTTGAGAGCGGAGTCTTTCGATAAATAGCCATGGTAAGCGGTATGCGCCACACTAGGACTGGGCAGCCTAGAAGCAAAGCTGCGCCGGCTCCACAAAGGCGACTACTCACCTCAGGGAAAGCCCCCACAGATGAGGGTGGCCCTGTTGCTGTCACGTACCCGTTATCAACCGATCACGCAGCATTAGGGCCAGGCTAGACCGACCGTGATCAGCGAGAAAAGTATCTCGCAAGGCACCCCTCACGCTGAAACCAACAACTATGGTTGTTCACAGTACACCGGAACTAACGGTCGTTACATTAGTAGAGGAGTGCGCTCACGACATCCAACATGGGCGGTGGTTATCAGCGAGGATAGGGTTAAATCGGATAGTGATGGCGGCGGTCTGCAGACTGCCACATCCCTCACGTTTGACGATGACAACATCACCCAGGTTGATGACTACTAACTTCGGGTGTCGAGAACTTTTAACCAAAGTACTGCAGACTTGATGCGCAGTAAAAAACGATATCGACGGGAACGTTCTTTGCTGTGGAACCAGTCCCAGGACGCTGCGACAACAGCGAAATACATCCCCACCTAGTGCTGGAGTCACCATCACTGTCAACAGAAAGATGTCCAAACTCTCCTAGGCTCTATAAAATCCCCAGAAACAAATGTGGATTGCACTGAAGCTGGTCGCCATGTATCAAGTTTCACCACTGTCCACGACACCCTTCGGTCTGTCACAACCAAGACGGCCCATGTTGTTAGAAACATGTCCAAGTGTCTTTACAGCACTGTGACAGGACTGCAGAGTAAGATGGGGGAATTACAATCTCTCTATTCCTACCTTGCTCTGAATATCATGATCCTGACGGAAACTTGGTTAACGCCGGACACTAGCGACATCGAAACTGACATAGGCCGTATGCGTCTGTTCAGGAGAGACAGGGAGCTTGAGGAAGAAGTTAGGATGGCAATGTTTATAAGTAACCATCTCAAAAGTGAACCGACAAGTGAAACTGTTTTTGGGGCCCCAGACCCCATCTGGTGTCAGTTTACGGTTGAACACACCAGGTACTTGGTAGGGGGCGTCTACAGAACTCCTACAGGCAACGTGGAACGTAACCGGCAACTTCTGCAATCAATGTCCGTAGCGACGTCTACGGGATATGACCACGTCATTACAGCCGGCGACGTTTACGCTCCAACTCTCAAACTTGGGCAGGACGGGGGAACCTCAAGCTGAAGGTTTGACCGAAACCTAATAAGCACCATCTAAAAGGCTGAACTGTGCGAGACTGTTGACGGCGACACTAGCTGGGGGTCAGGTGGAAAGCGTCCAAACTACCCCTTTCGCAGCTACCACCCACTGGCTGAAACCCTTCAGATTCAAACCCCCATCAGCGGCAGCGACCACGGCGTAGTGGTGTTTGACCTGGTATTCGACGAGGTATCTCACCCCTGTCTTTCTTACGCCAAGGCAAACTACGTGGCGATGAACCAACATCTGTCGACAGTACCAGGCCTCAGGAGTGAAGTAGCCTTTCGATTGATCAACACTGGGAACTAGTCACAGGTATCATCGAGGGGGCTATCTCTGAAAACGCCCCACTAGTCACAGCAATACCGAGAAAGTGAACCTCTTGGCTGAAGCGAGGCACTGAATGCCATTCGAAAGCCAAGAGAAAAGCATGGCATAAGCGGCCCCCTCCCCCGAGAAAAGAGTCTGACCACATGGCGTATATGGCCCTAAGAAATCGATGCAACATCAAAGTAGTAAGGACAGACAGAAGGTCGCTCCAGACGAACCTTGCCCAGAAGCTCTAGGCGAATCCCAGAAACCTGTGTCGACTTATGGCT